GTTTAGAGGAGCAATTTACTTTTCAAAGTCGTGGTCCTCTGTTTAGAGGAGCAATTTACTTTTCAAAGTCGTGGTGCCTCTGTTGAGAGGAGCATCTGTAGAGGAGCAATTTACTTTTCAAAGTCGTGGTGCCTCTGTTGAGAGGAGCAATTTACTTTCCAAAGTCGTGGTGCCTCTGTTGAGAGGAGCAATTTACTTTCAAAGTCGTTGCCTCTGTTTAGAGGAGCAATTTACTTTCAAAAGTCGTTGAGTCTCTGTTTAGAGGAGCTTCGGCAAAAAAAAAAAAAAAAAAAAAACAAAAAAAAAAAAAAAAACAAAAAAAACAAAAAACAAAAAAAAATCAAAAAAAAAAAAATCAAAAAAAAAAAAAAATCAAAAAAAAAAAACAAAAAAAAAAAAATCAAAAAATAAAAATGTTGAGTTGAGTCTTGATTGGGTGTCTACGTCTTTGCGCAATTTCTGTTTCACAGAAAATGTGCAAAGAGGGGCAGCTGTAGACACCCAATTGGGTCCGGGCCCAGATCAATTGGGCCTGGCCCAAATGGGTAAGGCCCATTTCAATCCTGTATATTTTTTTTCTTGTATTTTATGTATTCTATTATTATTATTATATTATGTATATCTTTATTATTTATTTATTTTTATTCAGATTAGATTTATATGTATTTTATTTATATAGTTATATATTATTATTATTTTTTTTTTTGTAATATATTTTTGATTTATCTTATTTTTATTATTTTTTTTTAATCATTGTTAATTCTATCTTTTTTCCGAATTATCTGATATTATTTTATTTTTTAATTTTTGATTTTCTTTCTATTATCTAGTTTTTTTTTTTTTTTTGATTTTGGAGGGCTGAGATTGAAGGCTAAGAATCCCATTGGAAGTGGGAATTCAATCAGAAGAGTCCAGTGGGATTCAAAGATTGAATTCCCGTCCAAGGAGGAATTGGGATTGATCAGAAACTCCTGATCAATCCTTATATAAAGCACATCCTGGAACAGTTCAAGAACACACAGAAAACAGTAAGCAAAGCTACTGATTTGAGAGAAAAGGAGGCGTATAGGAAGCTAGGAAAAGTTTAGGAGTGGTCTGGGAGGGAGAAAAAATTTTTAGAAATTTTTGGCGAAAAATTTTTCTGGAAATTTCTGGGAAATTTCCAGAATCCGGCGAAAATTCAGGCGAAATTTGAATTTTCCGGCAACAATTCCGACGAACATTGAAGTTTCCGGCGACATACCCAGTTTCCGGCAAAGAATCCCAGAAACCGGCGATCTTCCGGCTAACTTCCGACGAAATTTCCAGATTCCGGCGAAATTTCCCAGAATCCGGCACCGGTGTTCTTCGGTTTTTAGAGACAAGGGAGAGAAAAAGGGAAGAAGAGAGAGAGAGGGAGGAGCGTTCTGCCGAAAAAATGAAGGGGATTGCCTTTTATACCCTCCCAAAACGACGTCGTTTTGGCCTTAAGTTAACCAGGGGATCCGCGCGTTTTGCCGAACCCGACCCGACCCGAGCGTCGACCCGGTTCCTGACCCGCGCGTGCCAGCCCCCTCCGAGCCGAGCCGAGCCACGATCCGAGCCGCTCCAGGTTTTTTTTTTTTTTTTTTAGAATTTTTTTTATTTATTTGTTTTTCTTATTTTTTATTTATTAGATTAGGTTTATTTAATATTCTTTTTATCTTTATTTTATTTTTTATTTTTTTTTTTACTTTTCTTTTTTTTTATTATTCTATTTTCTTTAAATAAAAAAAAATCAAAAGTTCCAAAAAAAATAAACATTTTTAGGGAAAAGTTGAAAGTATCAATTTTCCTTAAAAATAAAATTTCAAAAAAAGATTTTTGGGGAAAAGTTGAAAGTATCAATTTTCCCTAATAAATTTTCAAAAAATAAGGTTTTTGGGGAAAAGTTGAAAGTATCAATTTTCCTCGAAATTAAAATTTCAAGAAAATATTTTTAGGGAAAAGTTGAAAGTATCAATTTTCCCTGAACAAAAAAAAAAATCCTTCTTTTCTTATATTCTGATTTTGATTTTGATTTTTCTCTAAATAATCCGACGACGGAGCCTCTGCAAGTGAAACAGTAGTTTTTCTTGCATACTCTTGAGGTGAGGGAATTTTCTCAATTTTCTGCTAAAAGTATTAGAGTCAATTGAGAAAATTTTCCAACAATTAACTACTTGGTAAAATTTTAAGGCTTTTGGATAACACAAATTTAAGCTGGTACCATCTTTTGATGGGCGTTGTGAGGGTGCTATAACCTTCCTCACACGTAACCGAACTTTCGAACCCTGTTCTGGTTAGCAGACCCGAACCTATTCTTTTAGGGACCCTTAAGCTTAGGCGTTCCCTAAAAGGGCAGATTCTTTAGGTGGCCAATCGCACCTAGATAAAAAAGATTGGTGGTGACTCTCTTCAAGTCAATGTCTAGCGATAGATCCCCGGATCTAGACGTTATGACAAACCTATGCATTCAAGCAAATGGAACAATTGTAACTTTAGATAGCACCATCTAATTTCTAGACTATTTTAGCTTTTTCCCAATGTCTTAATCTGATTACTCTATCTTTTTATATTTAGATTTTGCTGTAGCATTAAAAGGGTTGAAGCCATCATGAAAATCAACCAATTCTTAGGGCAAAGAGCTTGTATATTTAATTAAACTTGGGTGGCATAAGACATAGGATTTCTGCAGAATAGCTCTTCAAGCAGGCATATTAGAAGTGGACTGCTTTCCATTTGTATGCATAATTCAGTTCTTTCTGGATGTCTAGCTTTTGGGGCTTGATAGTTGTAATTGTTGTAACAAAATAATGTGTGCAAAATTTTCATAGATTATTATAATTTATATAACTTTGTTTAATTATAGAAACTATAACTATTTCATGCAAATAAAAGGTGTGGGATTTGTTAGACTCAAAGCTCCCAATCCAATTGAATTGAACATTCACATTAGCGAAAGTAAAATTAAACAATCAATTAATCACATGGGAGACAATAATTTAACATGATTTGATCTAATTGAACTATGTCTACGGATAAAAAAAAAGATCCACTAGTTGTAAATAATTATAAACACACAAATCTCAATCAACCATTCAACAATTAATACCCATAGATCCTTTCAATCTCTTCTAGTCTTGTAAAGTATTTTTAACTTAAGTAAACATATACCCATATGCACTCATACACTATATCTATGTGAATTCTCTCAGTCTCTTTTAATCTATTTACAAACATTCAAACATACATACCTAAACGTAAATTTTTAGTAGTCTTAGAGGGTGTCTATTTCATAAAATCTTACAACTTTCTTACATCTTTTTCTCATACTTATTCCTGTAGAGACTTCACTTATAAATATAAATTTACCTATCAGGAATCCTTTTGCTCTTATAATTCTTCTTCTATAAGTCTTCTTGTCCAAGTAATATTTAGCTAATCCCAAACAAATCTCTTATAAGATTTGAGTTATTATTCTCAATAGGATTCACATGTGAGTGTGTTAGCCTACTTGATATGCTAGCATAAGTTCAAAGTTGATAGAAACAGTCAAGTTGTTAATATTGTTAACAAATTGTCACGCTTCGTTTCTAGATTTGCTAATTATATTGGCAATTATATATCTGAAAGGAAGCAATATGGTTAATATAATATAGAATGATCTCGTTACTTATTTATGGACCAAGTTTTATGAATTGGTAGAACATTGGGGTCAGCAAGGGTGAAAATGATCTTATATGTGTATTTTTTGAGTGAAAATAATGTATTTAGATAAAAGTGCATCAAATTATATTGAACCAATATAATTGTATTATAATTATATATAATAAAATGTATTATATGCATATTATTTGTTAAATAAAAATGTTAAATATTTTATAAAAATTTATATAGATGACATGTGATAAATAATAATTGATTGATTTTAAATAATTTTATGATTCAGCTAGAAAAATATAATTTTAATTAAAAAAGATATTAATAATTTAATTAAAAAAAGAATATTAATAATTTTAATTGTTTCAATATTTTTCACCTTAGTACCCAACCCAATGTAGTGGTAAAAGGACTTCAAATCCATACAAAAAATAGGAAAAAATTGATCATAGCTATTATTTTCTCCCCTTTCTCTCACCACATTTTGAGTACACAATTAATATAATGAATATGGTCTCTAATATGTTATTGTTCAAAATGTGATTGTTCATGTATACATCGGTCATTATTTTATATGTGTTTATCCATTACTAGAATTTGACCCCTACTATTTTAGGATAAGTTATTTTTCGTTATTTTTAATATATTTATAATTATTTTAATACAAAAAATAATAATAATTTTAACTCACATGTTGAATCTTATAAATATATCAAATTTAAAAAATAATCAATATACTATAATTACGTTTTTGTTGTTGGTTTGTTTTTTGGTATGAAGTGAACTTTTATTTTTTATTTTCAAATTTATAAACTATTTGATCAAATCTATGACGTTTTTTCAATTTATTTTAAATTATAAACATTTGAATCTTATAAATATGTCAAAACTAAAAATAATTAATATATTATGATTACGTTTTTGTTGTTGGCTTTTTTTGTGTTATGATGTGAACTTTTATTTTTTATTTTTAAATTTATAGATTATTTGATCAAATCTATGATGTTTTTTCAATTTATTTTAAATTATAAACATTTTAAAAACTTTTAGAAAAAGAGAAAGGAAAATACGACAAATTTTTTTCCCTTGTAAAACGACACTCTCTAATTTCCATATAAGAAATTAGGGGATTTATAAAAAAAAGCACCCAACTCATATTGAATAAAACTCCAACACATATTTACGAGTCTAATACTTTAACACACATAATTTTATTTCATTTTAATAAATTATAACATGAAATACCACTTCCAAATCAGAATACATGGATAAAGTCAAGAGCATGCAAATCAAATTATTACATTACCAAACACACCGACATGAGCTGCCATTACAAATAATTACATACCAATAGTAGCCCAAAACACGCATAGCTTGTCACCAATTTGCTCCAATTTTTTATAATAAGCAAACCTCCAAGACCTGATTAAAACAAGGGGAGCCACTACTCCCCAAAACCCCATCGCAAATCCAAGCACTATGCTTACATAAAGCCAATTCACCTCTGATGTTTTCTTTCCTCCACTACTACCTCCATTTGTACCATCAGGTGCTTCGCCCTTTTTGTTGCAATTTTTAGTGACTGGAGGTCCGCAAAGATGATTGCCAATGTAAGAAGACTTGTCAAAGCTTTGGAGTTGGGTGCTTGATGGGATTTGTCCTGTCAAGTTGTTGTAGGACAAGTTGAAGTGATTCAAGAAATTCAAATTGGAAAAACTTGAAGGGATTTCACCATGGAGTCGGTTCATCGACAAGTCAAGAGATTCCAACATCTCCATATTACCAATGGTCTCTGGTATCTTTCCAGTTAGGAGATTCCCTGACAAATTTAATGACAGCAGTCCCATAAGATAACCAAGTTCTTTGGGGATCTCTCCTGTGAGACTGTTAACTGAAAGGTCTATGCCGGTAACAAGTCCGAGTGTGGTACTGTATTCATCCACTCTTCCTTTCATCACCAATAATGCACCAAAATAAAACGAGTTGTCAGGGTAGAATCTCGAGAACCAATTAGCCACGTGTGGGTTGAGGGTTGTGGCCATGGCACTTAGGTTACTAAAACATTTTGGAATAGCTCCTGAAATGTTGTTATAACCAAGATCCAAGACATGAAGAGAATTAAGAGCACAAATCTGATCAGGAATATAGTCTTGAAAGTTATTTGAACGGAGGTTTAGAATCACAAGGTTTGAGAGCTTGTCTCCAATCCATGCTGGAATACTTCCCGTCAATTGATTTTCACTAAGATCAAGAACAAGCATATTAACTAAATGCTGCAATATGGATGGTACTTCTCCAAACAGATTATTGTTACGAAGGCTTAATGACTCAATAAGACGCATAGATCCCAAGGATCTAGGAATTTTCCCAGTTAGACTATTGTTTCCTAAATTTAGGACTTCCAACATTGGCATATTTTCCCAACAATCTGGAATTTCACCTGACAGAAGATTTGATTCAACGTGAAGAATGTTCAAAACTTTCAGGTTATTTGAGGAATTACAAAGAAAATTAAAAAGTGATCCTGAAAAAAAGTTCTTGGACAAAAATAAATCCCCCAAATCTGAGAATATTGCCTGTGGCAATGGACCTGTGAATAGGTTGGAACTCAAGTCAGCAATCCAACTTATCGGTAAATATGAAAACTCCCCGACTAATTGGTTATGGGAAAGGTTTAGATATTCAAATGAAGTCGAAAGGTTCCAAAACCAAGTGGGAATGACACCTGAAATTCCAGCATGGGAGATGTCTAAACTATACATGTTCCTTTGGAATTGTAGCCACTGAGGAAATTGCCGACCAAGACGCCAGTTACCTAGTCCAATACTTTCACAGTGAAAAGGAGGAATCCAACTTGGGTTTGGTATAAACGTTAACATGTTGTTAGATGCCCAAAAAGATCTCAATATCGTGAGATTAGAAAAGTGCGTTTCTGATATATTTCCTTCCAACATATTATTGCTAACGTCTAAATGTTCCAAATTCCCAAGTTGTCCTAAAATTTGAGGAAGAGTTGCATTCAATCGATTGTATGAAATATCAAGAACTTTCAATGATGACAACTCCCCTATTGAGAATGGAATGGGACCAGAAATGGAGTTTCGGTTAAGGTAAAGGTATGCTAAAGTTTTAAATTGGCCAAGTTGATTAGGTAAATGGCCAGAAAGTTTGTTAAATGCAATATTTAATGACTCTAATCGATCCAAACTACATCTAGACAAACTCTCTATGATTTCTGAGACCTCATGATTAATTGTATTATTTGACAAATCCATCTCCCTCATATTGCAAAGACTTTCCAAATATTTGGGTTCAATCTCAAGCTGGTTATTTGAAAAATCAAGATGAGTAAGAGAGCTTAAGTTTCCAATGGCACTTGAAAAATTACCTTGCAGGCCGACACTGTTAAGACTAAGGAATTGAAGTTGGTTTAAATCAGACAACCAGTTGAGTGTCGATGATGAAGAGAATGAATTCCAACTAAGATCAAGAAATTTGAGAGAAGACATGTTTTGAAAGCCACTGGGAATCATACCTTCAACTCCACTAGAGCTAAGATCAATGGACACAAGACTACGAAGATTGAATATCCATGTCACCGAAGACAACATGTTTTGAGAAAGATCAAGAACAGCAAGAGATGTGTAATTAACACTGATTGGAGATGGACCATTATTTAGAGAGCATCCTGACAAGTGTAACTCCACCAAAGAAGGAAGATTGTGTGTTGCCTGCAGCCAATCAGTTGCTTTACTAAGATTTGCAAGGCTCAAACCAAGATACTGCAGAGATGAAAGACCAGAAACCCATTGAAGAGTTTTAGCTTCAAATAAGGAATTGATTCCAAGATCAAGATAATGCAGTTTTGAGAGATTTCCAAGATTATGGGGAATTGCTCCTACGAAATTTGCCCAAGAGAGGTTAAGATACGTCAAACTCTTCATCGAACCAATGAATTCGGGAATTGCCAGGCCTCCAAATTCATTATTACTTAAGTCTAGGAAACTGAGATGTTTCAAATCGACCAAAGATGGATTTATTTTGCCTCCTAACTTTGATCGAAAGTAAGCATCCCATTCAGCAGCCGGTGCATAAGCATCAGGACTAGTTGAAAGAAGCCCCAAATGCAGCTCTTTAACATGGCCAGTCAGGCTATTGCAGAAAACACCATGCCATTCACAGCAATCCTCACCTTCAACCCAAGAAGATAGCCTGTTTGATCGATCAATGAGGTCTTGCTTGAACGTCAAAAGGGCTTGCCCCTCACTTCCAATGCAAAGCACTTTGGAATTCCCATCACAAAAGCTAATAATAGCCGCTGCGATGACAAGAAGAAACCCAAACAAGGAAATTGTAACTGCTTTCATGGTTGCGTACTGATCATTGCTACCAACACCTAATATATAAAGTTAAAGAAAAATGTTTTCTACCACATCAAGCATTAGGAAATTTCTTCGAAGACTCCAATTTAAATTTCCAACTTGAATTTTCCACAGAAAGCATTCATATGTATGAATGAAATTCGGCGTGTAGAAAGAACATCAAAAGAACTTGACAAGGAGGTCAACTCAAGTCAAGTCAACCAAGTATATGGAGTTAAAAATTTCCAGAAAATCCAATTTCCAACTTGAATTTTCCACGGAAAGCATTTATGGTCCATTTAAATTCTACAATTCTAGAAAGAAGAACAAAAAAGACTTGACTAGTAAGTCAAGTCCACCAAATCTATGAAGTAAGTTCCACGGCCAAACAATTAACTCTTTAAGTCTTAGAAAAGAGAAAAAATATAAATAAAAATGAAAATATAGAAAAAAAAAACTACAAAAAATCTAGAGAAGCTAAGACTCTTTTTGCTTTTCTTTTTTTTTTTTTTGCTATAGTTACTTACTTTTTTTAATATATGTATGGATCCTAAAATTAAGAAATTTGTCGAAACAAGAATATTAATTCAAATTTAAAAAGTGGTTTTATATAAAAATCTATGAGAGTAAAATGCTTAATTTTGCAAATTAAAATTTCAGTTTATCTTTCATAGTTAACATAATTATTTTTTATCCGTTAACTTTCAATACAACTTTAATCACCAAATATTAGTATAATTTTCACAATTCATAATTATAGATATTAAGATTTGAATTTTAAATTTACCAAATATCATATTTTAAAAATATTTATATGAATCAATTAAATTAAAATTTAAATTTTTAAAACAAGATTTCAATGCTCGATTTGATTGTACTTAGTATGATTCATATAGTATCACCAAACTTTTCTTTTTTTATATCCAACAAGCAATGGAACTAACCCCTCGTATAAGCCATGAAAAAAAATTCTTTTAAAATTATAAGGAGAGAATTTATAAATTTTAATGACATGTTGTATTTTGATTGATTAATCTACAACTGATGTAATAAAAAATGTAATAATTTTTTTGCATAATTGAACGATATTAATTTAAGTAATTATAATTTTATTATTTCGTATTAAATTGTATATAAACTCTAGTTGTATAATTTAAACGATATATATTTAAATATAAAAGTGTTGGGCTAGTTTTGTTTTGCCTTCTACCTCCAAGCAAATTGGGTATTAGAATCTTGACAGGCTCAAACTGTTAGGAAAATGGGGTCCAACCTCATGTAAGTAGTTTTGGACTAAGTAAAGGCCATGGGCCTTGATCTTTCATTTTACACAGAGCCCTAACTACTTAATAAAAAAGAGGTGGGGTTGTTTTAAGGGTGTGTCGAAACCAATAGAGAAAGAAGAAAAGCCCAAAAAAAGCAGAGAGAAAAAGGAGAAGGGAGGTTGGTTGAAGAAAGTCGATCCGTGGTCCGATTAAGTTGAAACCTTGTCAGGAGGTTATGATTCAGAGTTTTTACATTTGAACGGTGAAGATCGGGTTTGAAGCTCTCTAGGAATAAATCCAGGGTGTATTTGTTGAGTTACTTATTTAGTGAGATTTCTCCAATTGCTTCTCTATTGTTGATTAGCTCTAGTTTTAGCTAGAGAAGACTTTGTATACCTATTATTTGATAGTGAAGATTTTTTGGTGGTCCGTGATATTTTATCTCTACATGGAGGATTTTTCACGTAAATCTTGGTATGCTTTATCTTCCTGTGTTTTTTATTATTGATTGTTGTCTATTGCTTTTGTATTGTTGTGATTATTGCTTCAGGTGCAACAAGTTATATTAGAGCGAGGGTTATTTTGAGACATCGATACAGAAGCAACCCATGATAGAAATAAATTTTGTTTGAGATCATGGAGGGTGATACAGGTTCTATGATAAAATTGACAGCATCGAATTATTCAATTTAGAAGCCTATGATGGAGGATCATCTATACTGTAAAGATTTGTATGAGTTAGTATTGAGTGATTTGGCTAAACTAGCAGATATGAAAGATGAAAGCTGAAAGAAGCTAGGTAGAAAGACGCTAGCTACAATAAAAAAATGGATTGATATCAACGTGTTTCATCATGTAGCGCAGAAGTCAAATGCTCACATTGTTTGGGAAAAATTGGCAGCATTGTATGAGAGAAAAATATGTATGAATAAAGTTATGCTTGTTAAAAAACTTACAACTTTACAGTACAGGGATGGACGATCTGTTACAGAGCACTTAAGTGATTTTCAAGATATATGTAATCGGATGACTACTATAGAGCTTAAGATGGATGATGAAATGAAGGCGTTATTTCTTTTGGGTTTATTACCAGACAGCTAGAATACTCTAGTTGTAACTGTTCTTAATTCTGCTCCTGATTATAAGGTAACATTAGAGATAGTAAAGGACAGTATGCTTAATGAAGAAGCAAAATGAAAAGATGTAGATCCTGGGAATCAAGCTCTGGTCACAGAAAACAGGGATAGAAACATCGACAGAGGTCAGGACTCAAAATACCATGGTAAGTCTAAACATAGATCCAAGTCTAAAGGTAAAGTGAAGTGTTTCTATTGTGGTAAGATGGGTCATATAAAATGAAACTGTAAAATCTTGAAACAAGAGCAAAAAGATGAGAAAGTCAAGAGTTCAGATGATGGTAATGTTACAGTAATGAATTCAGATAGTGATTCAGTTACTTTGATTTGTACACATGATGATTGTAATCATATTAGTGATCCCGACATTGAGTGGATAGTTGACACATGAGCGATATATCATTGTGTTCTTAAGAGAGAGTTGTTTACAACTTACAAAACAGAAGACTTTGGTTGTACCAAGATAAAAAATAAGAGTGTGTCACAGATTGTTGAGATTGGTGATATTATTGTACAAACTAGTACAGATTACATATTGACTTTGAGAGATGTTAGACACATTCCAGATATGAGAATAAACTTGCTTTCTATTAATGTTCTTGATAAGGAGGGATATGAAAGTCGATAAAAGAATGGACAGTGAAAGCTTCTCAAAGGATCTATGGTAGTTGTAAGAGGAAAACTATGCTACACAATGTATAAGACATGGATGTAATTAAACGGTAACCAGGTAAATGCCGTTGAAAATGATGCTTCAGCAAACTTGTGACACAAGAGGCTGGCACACATGAGTGAAAAGGGGTTACAAGTTTTAACAAGGCAGTCTCTTATTCCCTTTGACCAAAGGTATGTCTCTTGATTCATGTGATTATTATTTGTTTGGTAAGCATCATAGGGCTTCTTTTCGTAAAAGTTCTTAGAGAAAAAAAATAGATTAGAATTAATTTATTCTGACGTATGTGGTCCCATTAAGGTTAAGTCATTAGGTGGTAGCAGATATTTTATTACTTTTATTGATAATGCTTTACGTAAGACTTGGGTGTATATGTTGAAATACAAAAGTCAGGTACTGTAGTATTTTTAAAAATTTTATGCCATGGTTGAAAGGATGACAGAATTACCCTTGAAGTGTATTTGAACTGATAATGGTAGGGAATACACATCTAAAGGCTTTGAAGAGTATTGTTCAAAGCATAGGATCAGGCATAAGATAACAGAACCTAGAATACCGCAGCATAATGGTATAGCTGAAAAAATGAATTGTACCATTGTAAAAAAAGTCAAATGTATGTTAAGGATGGTAAAATTACCAAAACCATTTTGAGGTGAAACATTCAACATAGCTTGTTATTTACTTAACAGGTCACCATCAGTTCCTTTAGGCTTTGACATTTCAGAAAGAGTGTGGACAGAAAAAGATATTTCATACTCTCACTTGAAAGTTTTTGGGTGTAAAGCATTCATGCATGTGTTAAAAGAGAAGAGATCAAAGCTTGACAGTAAAGCCACACAGTGTGTGTTTATAGGATATGGTGATGAAGAATTTGGTTACAAGATATGGGATCCAGTAAAGAAAAAGATAATCAAAAGCAGAGATGTGGTCTTTCAAAAAAAAAAACCATAACAAACCTTGAGAAAAATGAGAAGACTACACGAGTTACTGTTGAGTGTGATGTTTCAACACCGACAGGATTCCACAGGAAAGAGTCACAGATGGTGAAAATGAGTAAGAAATAGAACTTAGGGATATGAATGAGCCAGCCATAGTTGGTGATGAGCTAGATGCAATTAGTTTTGAGCAGGGGGAGCAATCCTCTCTACCTGAGAGTGTTGAGCAGGCGAAGCTACCTTCGGCATCAAGTGATGTAGAGTCTCAGCCTAAGAGATCTACTAGAGAGCGCAGGCCATCTACCATGTATCCAAGTTTAGATTTTATTTTAGTTACCAGTGAATGAGAGCCAGAAAGCTTTTAAGATGTGTAGGCAACTCTGGATATAGAGCACTGGTTAAAAGCAATGAAAGAAGAGATGGAGTAATTATGAAAGAATGGTACTTATGATCTTGTTAAACTTTCAACAGGGAAGAGGCCATTAAAAAATAAATGGGTATTCAAGTTAAAAAAGAATGGTGACAAACTAGTGAGGTACAAAGCTCGATTGATAGTAAAAGGTTTTTTTTAAAAACCATGCATCGATTTTGATGAAATTTTTGCTTCAGTTGTAAAGATGAGTTCTATTCGAGTGGTACTGGGATTAGCAGCTAGTTTGAATCTTGAGCTTGAGCAACTTGATGTTAAACTGCATTTTTGCATGGTGATTAGAAGGAAGACATTTATATGAATCAGCTTGAGGGTTTTGAAGTGAAAGGGAAAGAGCACTTAGTTTGTAAATTGAAGAAAAGCTTGTATGACTTGAAACAAGCTCCGTAACAGTGGTACAAGAAGTTTGATTCTTTTATGGTGAGTCTTAGCTATAAAAGAACAACAGTGGATTCTTGTGTGTATGTTAAACAATTCTCTAATGGTAACTTCATTATCTTATTATTATATGTTGATGATATATTGATTGTAGGATAAGATGCTAGTATGGTTTACAGGTTGAAAGAACAATTGTCTAAGTCCTTTGATGTGAAGGATTTAGGTCCAGCAAAGTAGATTATTGGTATGAACATTATCCGAGATAGGAGAGCTGGAAAGCTATGGTTGTTACAGGGAAAGTATGTTGAACGAGTGCTTGGTAGATTCAACATGCAACATATTAAATCAGTTAGCAGATCACTTGCCAACCATTTTCATCTAAGTAAAAAATCTTGTCTAGTGTCTAAGGAAGAGCAACTAGCTATGTCTAGTATTCCTTATTCTTCTGCAGTTGGTTCTTTAATGTATCTTATGGTTTGTACAAGGCCTGACATTGCTCATGCAGTTGGTGTAGTGAGCAATTTTTTTTTAATCAGGGAAAGGTTCACTGGGAAGCAGTGAAATAGATTTTTAGATATTTGAGGGGTACCTCAAAAATGTGCTTGACTTATAGAGTTTCACAATTAGTTCTAGAAGGGTTTACTAATGCTGACATGA